TTTGGTTTTCCTTATCAAACTTTTCTTCACTTCATCTTCTAAAGTGATTCAGTTCAGTGTACAGTCAAACTCAGTCATACCCCTCACTGATCGCACAGCAGAATTACGTTCCTTGCCGTTGGGCAGTTGGGGCTAGACAACAGAGGAACCTTGTTGAACTGCCAGCCCCGCTATTTCATCAACTTCATGCTCGTCTCAGGGGTGGCGGTATAACAAGGTTTGACTGTAGTTCCACAAGTGGATTTCCCGCAGACGGCAATGGTGGACTGAGAACAACAACACGCAGGCTCAAGAACATTATGACCATGAGGCACTTCAAAAAACGTGACAAAAGACAAAATAATTGTAGCCAGAAAATATGCAATGAATGACGCAAAACATAGTATAAGATGACAACATGCTCTGATTCCGAGGAAGAAAACAGTGACAATGTAACACAAAAAGGATCATTGAGTGCTATAAAAAAGGTCAAAGCACCTGAAAGAATCTTTTTAAAAGAAAAAGCAAAAGCATACCAATGTAGAAAAAAAATTACAGCCATAAGAAAATACCCTAAAAGTTTCAGTGTCCGTCAATGAAAATAGAGCTTGTAGACAAACACCTACTATCAATAGAGATTATGTGCTATTGTGCATCGTTTTACCACAATTAGGGTAATACTAGTCTCCCTTTCATCACATTCTCAATAAATATCTGATGAAGAAAAAAAAGAGAGAGAAATAACAGTCCAGACTATATAAAAACCTCGTTAGAAAAGAAAAGCTTTTACATTTTAGCAAAAGTTTATCTTTCAGTGGACACATCACACTTTGAAGTTGAAATTGAGCACAATATAGGAATCATAATTTGTGAGGCACCATGGTGAAATCAGGCGCTCGTCAGGAGAATGAAATCAAAGAAACTGGCACTTTTCTGGCCATTGTGTAGTTGGTGGTTTTTTTACAATTTCATTTTTTCCGTCCAACACCTTTTATGTCCATTTAAAAACATAAATGTGGCTTAGATTTTACTGAAAACCACCGATCAAAGGCACAAAAAAAATGTAAATTTGCAGTATCCAAGGACACTCCTACTTTGGATGTCACCAAACTTTGGCGGCAATTTCCTTGCTAATTTTACATCTGACATCCGGCTACCCCCCCCCCCCCCCCCCCCCCATCCCCCTTACATATCAAATTTCTCAACTTCTATTGAAGATAGATGGGTATTTTTTTTCTTCACAAGCAAAACAACTGAACAAGCTTTAAGATGACACCAATAACTTCATACACCCAAAAATTGACGAGCCCCTGATTCCACCATGTCGTGGCACAATTAATAACTTACTGGGTAGATATATCAAAGCATGAACCAGGTATGCACGTTCATTATTGTCATAGTATAGTGATTGCATGATGTTTACAACCCCATCAACACAATTTAGAACATTTACGAGGCAAGCCAGGTTGATGATCATAAGACCAAAATAAATAAAAGTTTTCACCAAAAAAATGGAATGTTCAAGAAGTGTTCTGATTAATACCAAATACCAAGTAGAAGTAAAGCAATTTTTTAAAAAATAAATTTAAAAAGCCAAGCATAAAACCCTGAAGTGTGAAAAAAATATTAGGCAAAGTATGGAATTGATGGGTTCATTATGAACAAGGGAATGCTCAAAGAAATCACAAACCCACACCACACACACATTTTTAAAAAATTTGATACGCAAGAGAGATGTACAATACTTCAAATAAAAAACTTGTCCTTTCCACCCACAACATACTTCCTATAAATATATGCATAAACTTTGTGTGATGATATCAAAGAAAATCTGCATACAAATACACAGCAGCTGGAACCCTTGCTCAAGACTTCAAGCACAGAATAAAAGATAAACCAGCCCATCCAAAGGTCCACCCTGGCTCTTTTCTAGCACTGGCAAAATAACAAAAATCTCAGATTGTTTGAATCCAAAGACTCTGGAGTGGGAAGGGTTAAGAATTTGGGGGGAAATGTGAAATACTGCTCATAGGCGATATAGCATGGATTCATGAGCCCCAGAATGTAGCTTGTGATAGGGATTGAGTTATCAGTGATACTTCCCTTTCCCACAAAATGCAGAGGGAGGAGACTGCTTTGCAACCAGTTAAAACAATTATCTTGACAGTTCACAATTGAAATTCGTTGTTGGGTTATGGCAAGCTGTCACAATAGGGACATTTTGCCAGGAAAAAATAGGGACATTAATAACCCTGGAAAGAAGCACCACCTGTACATTCATATGCACAAAAACAACTCCACAATTGGACTTTCTCATCACTATGATGTCCATGCATAACTCAGGATCATCTTTTTTTTTTCTCCGACATTTCAATCTTTTGGTTTTAGCTTTAGTAAAAGTAACAACACTCGCAATCCCACTGGGTCATACAAGTACAACACTCGCAACACCAAAAGGTCATAAAAACGCCAAAGATTAGAGGCGTTACTAGACAGTAAAATACAAATAAAGGAAGAAGGAGAGAATAAGGATGAATGATGCTTGATAGGAAAGAAAGAGCAAACCAGACCAGAGCACCCGCCAACCACCAACAATCTTTCGTCGTTCCGTTTCCTCATGCTCAGATTATTTCTTCTTATCATTTTACAATTGTTTAACATGCTCTCAAACACAGAGGAAGCCATTTCCTCTACTGAAAGGGCACAGGCAGAAAGCAGTGCAGGCATCTAGCTAGGACAAATTAATTTCAAGACAGGCAAGAAAAAAATGTGGACTTTACCCTTTTACAAGTGTTCCAGTATCAGTATCAACACCTTTAGTAAGTTTACAGATATCAGTCACTGAGAGGAAAAACAATACGGATGAATTACTGAGTATTGAGCTGATACAAATGACCACCATAACACAACCCCAAACAGAAATACTACACAGTACATCATCATAATCATCATCATCATCACCATCATCATCATCATCATCATCAGAGCTTCCTCATGGTGAGCGCTTGCCCATGAGAGGCCCATGGTGAAATCAAACTCATTTAAGAGGGTGACTTTAGTTTTAGTAAGAGTTTTACGGCACTTGGAACACAATAAGGTCATATAAGTGCCGAAGATTAGAGGATTCGCAAGAGAGTAGCAAACACAAAAAAGAAGGATGGGAGGTAAAGATGATAGATGTTTGATAGGAAAGAAGAAGCAAACCACACCAGAGCACCCACCAACCACCCAAGCAAAGGTGATGATCCTGTAAAGGTACGTGAAGCTGCAGAGGATGTAATCAAGGAGGCTGGTGCCGATGTAACAATTTTCACTAATGGATCAGCTGTCGCAGGATACCGTGAAGGTGGAGCAGCAGCAGTAGTGAACATGAATGATGAGCCACCATGAACAGAAATCATAAGAACTAATGGTGAATTTCCTCAAATCATCTTATGACGAGGAATGCCAGGCCATGATGTCTGCTGCACAATGAATCATTGACAAATGCCATGGTAGAACCAATGTGCTGATCTTGACTGACAGTCAGTCCCTCTTCAAGGTACTACTGGGCAACAGCTCAAATATAAAGAATTTGCTCTGCAAGTTCAGTGAAACCACAGCCACAAAAAAGGTCCAGTGGATTCCAAGCCATGTTGGAATAGAAGGAAATGAGGCAGCAGACCAAGCTGCCAATTAAGCCAGAGAGATTGAAGGAGACAGATGACCAATAACATACAGGGGAGTCTTTCCAATGATCAAAAGGGGAATCAGAGACCCACCATACAGAGCTGAGGATATGTATTCTGGGTACTCTAATAAGCAGGAACAATTAATCACATGTCGCCGGGAACAGTTTGAGCTGGCGAGATTGCGGTTGGACCATCATTGGAGCATGAGATGGCATCAGAACTTTGTGAATGAAGAGCTCAACCCACGTTGCCGAAGATGCAACCATGAAAAGGAGGATGTCCAGGAACAATGGCAACTCACAACTGAAGGTGCCTCTGAGTATAATGATAAAGAAGCCGAAAAAGAGCCTCGCTCTCGCTCTAAGATTTCTTCGTGGAGTCCACTGGCCTAACGAAACAAACAAAAATCATCATCATTGTTGTACAGTATGAAAAAACATATGGAGACTTGGACATAGTTTAGAACATTTTTTTTTGTATTCTAGTCAACAATATCATCATCATTACCATGATCATCATCATTATCATTATTATCATCACCATCATTGCTGTCGTGTCATTGACGTTGCCTTCATCATCATCTTCATCCTCATTTTATTTTGATGAAACAACATAAAAAGAGGGAATGGGGACTAGCAAAGCATTTCTTTAAAAAACACCTCAACAGAAAAAAACAATTAACATCAAATACATATATGGATGGCATCAGACACAAAGTTATACAGTCTGAAAAAACTTACTTTAAAGGAGACAGAGAAAGCCCGTCAGAATCCGTCTCCATAATTCAATAGAATTACAGAATTTCAGGGCAACTTTGGCTCACTTATTTTGTTTTTAAGAGGTACATGACGTTCACCTAAAGTAGAACAATATTGAATGTAACGGTCACAAATCGGAGTCTAAAACAACTACTTGCAAGGAAAAAAGTAAGCGTGCGTCAATCGTGAAACCAAAAACAAATTTAAACGAAACATTTTGCTCCCAAATTTCCTCTTAGTAAACTTGCAATATAACAAAGATATGATGCAAGAGGGTTTCCTTGAGATCTTTTCAGACTGAAATAAGAGTTGACCATTTCGACCATCCGTGGTTTGCGACTGTTACTGACGATATGTTTTAGACATTCTAAGATTAGTCTTAGACTCTCAGCCTTTCCCACTTTGCACCAAACATCACCCACTAGTTGATGAGATCACAGGCAATTCTGACAACACAAAAGAGGAAAAATGGCATCAGAAAAAACACTGGGGCTATAAATAACACAATAACAATTCAAATAACACCTGTAAAAGCATAATGTGGTATATGCATTATTCTAGTAACAAAATGATAACTTACTTCTTTTTTAAATTTTGCGGCAAAAAAAAAAAAAATTTTTTTAAAGACAAGGTACAAACTATTCAGGTGTCACATCTACCAACAAGAAAAACAATTTTAAGACAAGCTAGATTTTACACCTTTATGGAGACTGAACATTCCTACCAAAACAACTTAATAGACTTGATATAATGTAACTGTTTACATCTTTAGAACATAATGCAAATATTCTTTCAACTGTTTCCAGCTATCTATGCTAACCTGTAAGAAAGTGGGCTCTTAAAATTGTGGGCATAAAAATATACTCTGTTCCCCTTACAACAGTTAAAGCAGTGATACAAGAGTACTGGCATCCCCTGCAGCAGACTGTTCCAACTCCACTCTCTGGTACTACAACAGCAGACTGTTCCAACTCCACTCTTTGGTACTACAACAGCAGACCTTCCAACGCCTCTCTCTGGTACTACAACAGCAGACCTTCCAACTCCACTCTCTGGTACTACAACAGCAGACCTTCCAACTCCACTCTTTGGTACTACAACAGCAGACCTTCCAACTCCACTCTTTGGTACTACAACAGCAGACCTTCCAACTCCACTCTCTGGTACTACAACAGCAGACCTTCCAACGCCTCCATGCAAAAATATAAAGAGCTTTCCCCAAACCTTAAAAATAGAAGCTAGAGGGGGAAAAAATCAATCTTCAGAACCCCTGTAGATTCAGATTATGTTGCCATCCGATCATGGCATATAAACATGTATATTGCAAATACACGCAAACACACGCAAATGAATATGAGTATTTTCAACTCATGTGCCATAATTTTTGCAAAAGTTGCAAATAAATGCAAATAAACCTGGTGCATATCTATATCATTTTGAATAAGTTCTGTATGACTTATGGAAACAGATTTCAACTAATGAATCGGATTTCAAGCAAATCCCATCAAGGTTCTTCCATAGGCAAAACAAAATTGGAGGGCTCCTATTTTATCAGAATACTTGGCAGGTCTGCTACAGCAGAACTTGCTCACACAAAAGAGAACAACTA